AGATATTTGACGTAAACATTTTTGAATTTTTATGTTTTCATAACATGTCAACCTTTTTCGAATGCAGTTCTTTGATTATCTTGACAACAACTCATTTTCAATTTTAGAACGAGTTTTACGGTACTGGCAACACAATTAGGTCATATATTATGTCCCGAAGATAAGATGTGTTACAAGAGGGCAAACACAAAAAAGAAGGAGGACAGGTCAGGACGATATATGCTGGATATGAAAGAAGAAGCAAACCACACCAGAGCACCCCCCCCCCCACACACACAACCACCTACGATAACAACTCCGAATAATGTTACAGTTTTTGATAGAGCAGACAGGTCCTGATTTGGTCTCTGACCTCATGCGTTAAGTAACTCAAAACGTCCCAAAATGTCAGATAGAACTTTATAATTCTGACGTAGCTACTTGATAGCGACGAAGCTCTGCAGTTTCGTTTAATCCAAGTTACCAGCAAATGTCAGACGGGTTGGGTCAAGATGATGCAGCGTACTTTTGTGCCTAAAAGTAAAAGTAATAGAAATAGTATGGGTTTGTGGGAATAGAATACTTCTTGTGTCTGAGTGCTTTCAAAGATTTGTCCTTCTTCTTCTTTGCTAAGATGTTACTTTTCCTCACACTCTCGCTCTCATCCCCCACCCTCATATTCTGTCTGTCTGTCTGTCTGTCTGTCTGTCTGTCTGTCTGTCTGTCTGTCTGTCTGTCTGTCTCTCTTCATCCCTCTAACTCTCTCCCTACTCCACTCTCTGTCTTTTTTTCTTGTGTGTATGTCGCTGCCCCCCCCCCCCCCCCCCACACTCCCTTCTCTCTCTCTGTCTGTCTCTCTCTCTTTCTCTCTCCTTCTCTTTCTTTCTCTCTCTCCTGTCTCCCTCCCTTATATATCTCTCTCTCTCTCTCTCTCTCTCTCTCTCTCTCTCTCTCTCTCTCTCTCTCCCCTACCCCTCTTTCTCCCCTCTCTCTCTCCCCCCCTCTCTCTGTGTCTCCCTCTATTTCTCTCTCACCCGCTGGGAGTGGGGACGTATAGATCCGTATTATAGCTAAATACACAGCCTGATCGAGTGATCCTCTCTACTCCCCTCTCTATCTTTCCTCTCTGTGTACCCCCCCCCTCTACCCCCCATCCCCCGATCAGAGAGACGACTCACCCTGTGTAAACACAACATTCCCGGCGTGCATTGCCAAGTGCGTCCGTATTGATTGAAGAACGATTTCTTCTTCTTCTTCTTCTTCTTCTTCTTCTTCTTCTTCTTCTTCTTCTTCTTCTTCTTCTTCTTCTTCTTCTTCTTCTTCTTCTTCTTCTTCTTCTTCTTCTTCTTCTTCTTCTTCCTCTTCTTCTTCTTCTTCTTCTTCTCTCTTTCTCTCTCTCTGTCCCCCACTCGAACAAAACGACAGCACGCACACAGCATTGGGGATATGCAAATGTACTACGAAGACAGAAGACGTCTAAGGGGAGTCACAAAGATTGAGATGCGATAAGAAAGGGAAAAAGGAA